TATATATTTACAAAGAGAAAATAAAAACATCAGGGAAAGAGGTAGCTTAGCATATCCGAAAAAGGGAGGAGCCCAGAACTCATCATGCCAGGTTCTCATCCCCCTCCCTCACTTTCTAGTGTGTGGTAATTAGGTATAAGAATTTTGGAAACTATTAAGCATTTTGTTAACTTCAAACACTTTTCTCTAGCCAAAGAGGTAAATTTGGAAGAAAATGACACAATTGAGAAAATCTTATGCAAGCCTAACTTTTTATGCTGTTTTTGAGTCAAGTTATTTACTACTTTTAAAACATAATTCTTCATAAATGCTTTAAATTTGTTCTCAAGTCCTATAAGTTAGATGCTTTATTACTATTTTTTCTTAAATTTAGATTCTAAATAATAAAAATTAAACCAGTGATTTCCAAGTAAATTTTTTCCGTTTGTAAATTTACATTATGTGCAGCTAGGTCTTGCAACTAAAAGGGCAGAATGTTTTATAGTTTAATAGGTGAAACTGTGATTAGACTGCATTTCTCAATCCTGCTTTCTGTGTGTTTAGATGACTCTCCATAGTCATTTTTGCCACCTGCCCTGAACCTTAGGTGGCCATTATTATAATAAATATTTGCCTGGGAAAATAGCACTGCTATAGACCCATTGCTGTTTGTAATAAATAACTACATGGGCAGTCTGGAAGGATATTAACTGGGTGTGGAGGCTCACACCTATATTCCTAGCACTTTAGGAGGCTGAGACAAGAGGTTTGCTTGAGTTCAGATAATATAGTGAGACCTCATCTCTATAAAAAATAAAAATTAGCCAGCATGGTGGCTTATGCCTATAGTCTCAACTAATCCAGAGACTGAGGTCAGAGTATTGCTATGATTGCGCCACTGCACTCCAGCCTGGATGACAAAGTGAGACTCTGTCCCTAAGAAAAAAAAAAGATGAAGGATCTTAATTAGAAATTTGTATAGCTGGCAGTTGAGCAGTTTTTTAAATAAAAATCTCATTTTCAGCTTTTATAATGTGTATATTCTGTTACTTTGTAAATGTGTAATTTATTTAAAATTACATCAGATGATACATACTTGCTATTTTGGAAACTATGATAAACATTTCTTAAAAGTTTAGAAATCAAAATATTTTTCTTAAAAATGTCATTTTCTCCTCAGCCTTATGTTTACACAACACTGCCCGTTGTCAGAGTGACACGTGGGAAGCTTTATTCAGAAGTGACTTGCTTTTTTGACCATGTTACCCATAGAGTTCGACTATACCACATACGGGGTAAGAAAACAGAAATGCAGTTATGAAACATATGCTATTTGTTCTTGAATTCTTGTTTTTGTTGTGTCATTTTGCACAAATTAGTGATTGGTTTTTGGAGATTTTTTCTAAACCTGACTTCATATTTGTAGTATGATTTAAAATATATTTCCCTTTGATAATAAAAAATGGTTAAACATTTCATTCCCTGCATATACATCTTCTTTTTTTCTGTATATCTTTTGTTTCCTATTACAATATTTGTCTTAGTCATGAGCTCATTAACTAGAAACTTACTTCTAAGACCTGAAAACAGTATGGTGTTTTGCTTGATTTTATAAAATAGAAATTACATTGTATATGGCTTTCAGTTTATGGACCACTGACTAGCAGTGACACACACACACGTGCATGCGCTCACACACACATGCTCAGCCTACCTCCTTCACTTAAATGTTTTGCAATAGCATAAATCCCTGGACTGTGACTTTGAAAGAAAATATGTTCTAAACTAGTTCTGTTTGTTTACAATTCTACTCAGTAGAATATAAAAGCAGGCAATTGCTATTGCTTTTAGAACAGTATTGAGCAGCATCTTTATAAACCCAAGTGATGGGATGTAGGCTTTCGAACACTCTCATACTTGCATAGTTAGGTTGATTGATTTTTGTGAGACCGAGGCAAGTGGATTGCCTAAGCCCGCAGGTTTGAGACCTGCCCAGGCAATTTGGTGAGACCTCATCTCTACAATAAATCAAAAATTAGCCAGTCGTAGTAGTGTGCACCCGTAGTTCCGGCTACTAGGAAGGCTGAGGTGGGAGAATTGCTGGAGCCCAGCAGGTCAAAGCTGGGAAGGCTGTGAGCATGCCACTGCACACCAGCCTGGGCGACAGAGTGAGACTCCAACTCAAAAAACAAAGCAAAACAAATGCCACTTAAATTTATCTTTGCTGTTAGCTAAGTTGAAAAAATTAGAAAGAATATTCTTTCCTTGAATCATTATACAAGTAGAAAATAAAGCATTTTACAAACTAATAATAAATGTATAGGCAGGTCACTGTTTCCTTTTTATGTATTTCTGGAAAGCAAGTGATACTGTATTCGGGGAGTTTCTTAGATAATTGAAGTTCAATTTTCTTTTGTTAGAATATCAGGTATGGACAAACTTTTTCATGTAGCTTCTTAGGTAACAATATTATATGCTTTTAGAATGATCCATGATTCATAGTTGAATCAAGAAGTAAAAGGTCTCTGGAAGGTGGGAAAAATAGTACTAGATACTAACTTTGTATCCTGAGTATGACTTGTACAGTTACCTGCTATCACTTTGCTACCTACAGAAAAGTGTATAGTTCTAAAATAATCTTTTTTAGAGTATTCCAAAACTTCTGGTAAGTCAGAAACTGTTTTTGACCATCTGTTTATACTTTTGCATAAGCCATTGTTTAGTACCCCCGAGAGCTCTAAAGTTACATTTTCAGCTATATAACATTATCACACAGAGGATATGCTCATCTATTTTTAATTTTGCTTAAAATGGTGTTATTTTTTAGTGAAAATTTCTTCCTGGAGTACAGCATGGTGCAGATCTGTGTCATCAAGTATGACTTACCATTGTTTTTCATCAAGATTGGTTGTCTCTCAGAGTAAATGCTACAGCAACTTGTCTTAAAATTCCAGCTTCTAAATTAAGTATGTTTACTTAATTGCTTTCACTTTTATTAATTATATCTGTCAGTGTCACTGCATCTTAAGAGTTTTCTTTGCATTATTTAGAGCCTCTAGTTCTCGAATCATGGTACAGTTTTTATGGAGTAGATGGCCCTCTTCTGCCGCTGTGGCTATAGCTTAGCTTGCCATTGTACCTCAGTGCTTGATTTGGGAATAGCTAGCTTCTGACTTGCCTCGGTACTTATTCCAACAAACCACTGTCAAAACTAAATACTTGTCTTTTTCCTTTCCCTGTCTCTTCCTGTCCCCTGCTGGGTAGTGAACTGTCCAGTGGCTAATAGCCCTTTGGCAGGAGCAGGGGCCACTGACTTTTGACTGACACCAGGCCTTCCCAAGTGGCACTCAGTGTGACCCATTTCTGACTGCTGACCTGACCTCTGCCTCTTTCCTCTGTTATATTTTTTTATTATAATTTCTCGTGTGTGTTAGGTTGGCAAGCTGAGTCCCTGTCATGGGCATTAAAAGAATTGCACAGAAGGTAGATAAGGAGAAAGGGAGTTTATTCAGAAAGTAGATTGGAGAGAGGGCGGATCCACTTCTCCAATAGTAGTGACGCTTAAGGAACCTTCCTGGAGAATGCTTGAGGCTGGGGGTTTTAAGGCTTTCCTTTAGGGAGCAGGTATGCATTCTTGAGTAAGATAACACAGGAGCTGTTGCCATGGTGATGGGGTGGCATTCTGTGTCTCATATTTTTGACAACCGAATAGATGGTGATGGTTAGTCACTGATAGTCAATCACATAGATCAGGAGGGCTGGGCCAGTAGCTGAAAGACAAGTTATTGGGAGATGTTAATCTTAGCGTCTTGTGACCAAGTAGAGTAAAGCCCACCTGTAGGCCAGAAATCTGGTTGTTCTTCTAGTTTATCATTATTTCTGTGTATGCAGAATTTCTGTGTATGCAACCTGGTCATGTACTTAGGTCAACTTGACCTAAGTACATGATCAGGTTTGCTCAAGATCAGTGACAGGAGAAACTCCATACTGGGCTCTGGCTTTTCAATATATTTCCTTTCTAGATTGTTTGTCTCCTCTTCCTTGATGTTCTGGTGCATGTTTTTTTAAAAAAAGGGACAGATAAATAAGTTAAGTATAAGAGAAATTTAATTTAGAGAGCTTCACTGGATGAGTTTCACTATAGTTGCCTAGGTTAAACCTAAAACCAGCATTTATAAATTTGAAGTGATATATACATCTTTTGTTCTCTCTCTAACTCAGAATATTTTTTTTTCCAACATAGAAGTAGTTAATAGGAGACAGTGATACCAGAATCTTCTGAAATGCTTTCTTCCAAACCATATACTTCCTGTATTTATTGTTAAGCCCCTCTCCATAAACCTCTTCCTAGGAAAAGATACACCCAGTTGTGGATATCAAGCCTTTTCTTACCTTTTCTAAGTATTCTTCATGTCCTACCTCCACCTGTCCTGTTCTTTCACACACCATTGCCTGAGGACTCAGATTGTTTGGATCATGGTTCATTGAGGATTTAATGAAATCACTAATCAAGGCCTGTAAGAGAGATGTGAAGTCTTCAGGGTGTTTGACTCTGTAGGTGTTTACACTACTTGAAAGAGTAATCAGTCTTCAGGGGTTTGGTTATTCAGTGCCAAGGCAGCTGTATGAAGAAATAGTTGAAAGCTTTATAACATTCTAAAATTTGACCTCCTGTTAACCAAGCACCTGGATGATTGATCAAAATGTGACTTTTCATTTTAGGTGCAAAGAAATGTTCACCTAACTTCCATGCATTTGAGGATTGGCTTTTGGTTAATATTTCTTAAAATAACAAAAATATTTATTCTTGAATTTGATGTTTTAAATTTATTTAGGGTATATGCTAATTTTGCCCCCTTTAAACTAACCAGATACAATTGTTTGAAGAAATATTAATGAATAAAACCTGTTTGCTACTAATACCAAATTTCAGATTCAGGAAGAAATGAGAGTTGGGAGAGAGAGACTATTAATATTTTATGATTGCATACTATAATTCTATTAGGTAACTAAATCAGTTAATTATGCAAAAGATTGCATTGTCTCTCAGTTGCAAGGGTTGAAGAAACAGAAAATGAATTAATATTACAGGTTGTCAGTCTTTATTGGGTGTCTATATTAAACCTTTCAAATTCAGTTTATTGAAACATTCTTTCAAAAAAACTAAAGTAATGCAAACCTGACAAAATGTCATTACATTCCTCAGTCTGTATTTTAACTACTCTTTGGCCCTTTTCTCCCCAGGTTAACTTTTGCCCAAACTAAGCTTCAAACAAAAACAAAACTAATAGCAGAAATCAAAAACACTTCCCAAATTATATAAACTATTTTGTCATTATTGATTTTGAAAAAAACTGAGTTAAGAGGCCTTAGTTTAGCCCAACTTTTGTTTTTGGGTTTGATGTTTAACTTTAGTTTCTCTATTTGCCTTCTCTCCAGATTCTGAAAATGATTAGAAGTACAGTTGAAAGGTTTTCTCTTTCTTAACATCATTTAAGCTATTAAAAGAACACTGTGTTTTTCTTTTCATTATCTTTCAGACATTGCATTCAAAAGTTTTCTAGAAATATTAGAGGAAATCTTGTGTTCACTACCTTTAAAAGTGCTACAAGATCAGAGCCATTCAGAGTTTTCTAATGAAATACAATTCTTTGCCTATGTCACTTTTAATAAAAAATCTATTTTATAGCACCCATAATTTAATGAATTGCCTTTCTGGGACTACTATGATTTCTAAAAGATTATTTAATTTGTAGAAAATAACACTTTTCTGGGGGAAAAAAGGTGGGGGAGGTGGCAATTGATTTTTCTTACAGTATAATCATTTTTCATTAAATTAAAGCTTTAGATATTACCAAATAGGATACTTTAGCTTATTTGTTAATCTTGAATTAGAAAGAAGATAGACTATGATACAAGCAGAAGCTCCTGTGTCCCCTCACATCTTAAATTACACCTTCACAAAAAGTACATACCTTGCAGTAACATAATGATCAGTAACTAACTTAACTGTGGCTTTATTTGTCTATAGAGCTGTAATTATTGGACTTCAGTGCCCTAGTTTTCTGACATCAGCAGCTACTTTGAAGAATTAGGTTGCTATGGGTTACCAGTGTATCATGTACATTTCACTGGCACAAGGGTTCAAGTCCTAGATCTATTATAGTATTTACTTCCAAGATTTTTTCCTCTTCCATAACTATGTACTCCTAGACAGGTGTTTGTGAGCCAATGAATGAGTATGTTTCTAAACCATGCTTTAACCCTTAGGAGAAATATCTTAATACAATACTTT